CGCTTAAAACGAAATTGAATTTTAAATTTCAATCAAGTAGCCTTGGAAAAATAGATTTGATCGTCTAATGTTTTTAGTGCCTTGTCCTGGCCAGTTAGAAAATGCTCAAATCGTATTTTTAATCATATCTCAATTTTTTCAAATAGAACGAGGGTGGCTAATTAGCATATTTGGAAAAGCATTTTTACGAATAATTTGATACCTCACACTTGGTATTTCGAGAGTCAAATTATCGTTATGAACCGCATGTTATAATTTCCTTTATAATTTCAAATAAACCATATGCGAAAACGTCAAAAAGTTGACATATGATATGTCATTCTATTCAGAGTGTCATTTTCATCGAATAAAAGTAAAAAATACCGAAAAAACTAAATATGCCATCAGTTTGCTTAAATAGAACAAGTAACATATAAATTTACGCGAAACTGACGATATGACCACAGACAACAAATTGCAGAGCTTCACAATTCAGCATAAAAAGAAAAATATTTATTAAAAAAAAAAAATTAAATATAACTGTAATCAGAAAAACCTTAATTTATGTCTGTATTTGGTAACGGAATTTCAACTTATAATACTCTTTCCAATATAGACATGTCTTATAAACCTTATATTTTAAATGACGTGTTGAACGATGTCAGGGGTACCGATTAATTTTGAAGAAAAAAAAAATATTAAACCCTGAACTTAAATTAAAATTCTATTTTTAAATTATAAGAAAGTATCGCTTTATAATTAAATTAACTATTAAATTTATTTCAATCAATATTTTTTTAAGTATAATAAATACAACTTTGTTTGACCATCAAAATCTCAAAATGGTAGATAACAACCTATTCTCAGACCTATTGAATAGACATATAAAATTTTAATCAAAATCGGTCAAGCCGTTACGGTGAAGTCGGAAGAAGTGCATGGTAACAAAAAAAAACAACCCCTATTTGAAAGTGAAAATTTAGTGTTGTATGTATTTTTTTATTGCCACATCGTAAAAAAAAAACAAAAATTAAAAAATTTTTTTGTCCAAAAATAAATAAAAATTGGGGTGGGCCCCCTGTCACTCTTAAGGATATAAAAATAGATAACAACCAATTCTCAGACCTACTGCATATGCATATTAAATTTCATCAAAATCCGGTCAAGCCGTTACTGAGGAGTCGGGAGAAGTATAGTAACAAAAAATTAAAAAACAACCCCTATTTGAATGTGAAAATTTAGTGTTAAATGTATTTTTTTAATGCACATCGTAAAAAACAAAAAATTAAATATTTTACCCAAAAATAAAAAAAAAATTGGGTAGGGCCCCCTTGTCACTTAAGGGTATAAAAAAATAGATAACAACCTATTTTCAGACCTACTAAACATACATATAAAATTTCATCAAAATCGGTCAAGCTGTTACGGAGAAGTACGTAACAAAAATTTAAAAAAACCCTATTTGAAAGTGAAAATTTAGTGTTGTATGTATTTTTAATGCCACATCGTAAAAAAAACAAAAATTAAAAATTTTGTCCAAAAATATAAAAATTGGGTGGGCCCCCTTGTCACTCTAAGGGTATAAAAAATAGATAACAACCAATTCCTCAGGACCTACTGCATATACATATTAAATTTCATCAAAATCCGGTCAAGCTGTTACGGAGAAGTCGGGGAGAAGTATGGTAACAAAAATTAAAAAAACAACCCCTCTTTGAACGTGAAAATTTAGTGTTAAATGTATTTTTTTAATGCCACATCGTAAAAAAACAAAAATTAAATATTTTACCCAAAAATAAAAAAATGGGTAGGCCCCCCTTGTCACTTAAGGGTATAAAAAAATAGATAACAACCTATTTTCAGACCTACTGAATATACATATAAAATTTCATCAAAATCGGTTAAGCCAAGTTACTGAGAAGTAACTGTAACAAAAAATTAAAAAAACACCCTATTTGAAAGTGAAAATTTAGTGTTAAATGTATTTTTTAATGCCACATCGTAAAAAAACAAAAATTAAATATTTTATCCAAAAAATAAAAAAAATTGGGGTGGGCCCCCCCTTGTCACTTAAGGGTATAAAAAAATAGATAACAACCTATTTTCAGACCTACTGAATATACATATAAAATTTCATCAAAATCGGTTAAGCCGTTATGGAGGAGTACGGTATCTAAAACTGTGACAAGACAATTTTTTATATGTATTAGATTTCAGAAATCTGCCTAAACCTTAGCCCGATCCTGTCGTGTTAAGCCACACCCATAATTTCAAACGCACGTGCTTTCAGCGAAAAAGTATAACCTTTAAATTCCTTTAGATTAGGGCTTGCAGAGCTTCAGCATTTGCCATAAAATAGCGAGCAATTTTGTTACAAACCATATAAATTATATATCACTGTAATCACAAAACTTCAATCTATATCCCTCCTGTAACAGAATTTTAAATTATATTTTTATTTTCGAGGAAATTTAGTCCAAACATAAAGGTTTATTTTGTTGATGTTTGACCATCAAAATCTTAAAAATGAACAAGTTATCTAAAAATGTGCCACACGACGGATTTAGTATAATCCTTTATCTTTAATTTTCTTCTTCGTTTGTGTAAAAATACCTAGCCAGTTTGACATAAAACGTTAAATGCCGAACGCTTATTTTGCTACTTTTTCGGACTAGTGAAATGGACTCTTAAAGTTGGTATATTTATACAGGGTGGCGCACCTCATTCGCCTCGGTTGATTATACGAAAACGGGAAGATGTAGAAACAAAATATTTTATAGGTATATGTGGGGAGGCAATGTGCACAATTTAAAATAATTTTGAAATATACAGGGTGTTTCAGAACTAAGATCCCTACCTACATAAGTTATATTTTTTCTGAACACCTGGTATTTTATTTCATTTTTGGATTCTTGGGCCCAAAAAAAGGCATTTATTGTAAGGGTTAAGTATGTTTAAAATCTTTAGTTTTTGAGATATTTAAAGATATTTAAATTTTCATGCTACAATAGAATAGACTATTAACACCCTGTACATTACTTTTCAGAATTAATTCTTATGCTGAAATAAACTTTACTGAAAAATGGTATTGGTTCCTTAAATTTATACAGGTCTATCAAAAGTTGCTGATCTATTTTAAGGATATATTTTATATAAAAACTTCGTTATTTAAAATGCAACACCCTGTATTTTTTTAAAGAAATCGAAGCAGATTCAAACGCTTTTTCAAACTATATTAGGGTTTCCTATACCTATCTAGCTCAGATTTTGAATAAAAAGCGATTTTTAAATAAAATTGCAATCAGGATGGCTGGTCTCGCCATGACAATTTTCTAGTGACCGTTAGTAACTATTTGCAAAATCGACATTAGTTTATGGACATTATTATTTTACAATAGTTTAATAAATAAGTATTCATTATTTTATCAAGAAAAATAAAGCAGTATCTGCTGGCGGAACGAATAGATATGTTACTAGTGATATTATTTTGTGATGAAAATTGCTTCTTGGCCTCAAGGGCTTATGCTCAAAGATATCCAAATAGGAATCTTCCTGATAAGCGTTTCTTTGAAAAACTTCTTGTCCTATTTCGCAGAGCTTGTAGTGTGGTTTATAAAAAAAACTATTAGGCAGAAACTTGTCGTTGGAGGTGAAGAAAATGAATTTGCTGTAATTCGCTCTTTTATAGAAAATCCATATGTCTACAAGTCATCGTAAAATAATTCAAAGAACTACTTTTTCGTTTTTCTTGACAGAATAATAAACACATATTTAATAAATACTATTTATTAAACTATTGTAGGTAAATTAAATAAAAGTAAACTGGTATAAATTTAAATAAGTCCATAAACTAATTTCGATTTTGAAAATAGCTACTAACTGTCACTAGAAACTTCCACGAAAACACTAGCCATCTTGATTACAATTTTATTGAAAAATCGCTTTTTATTCAAAATCTGAGCCAGATAGGTATAGGAAACCCTAATATAGTTTGAAAGAGCATTTAAATCTGCTTCGACTTATTTAAAAAAATACATAGTGTTGTATTTGAAATAACGAAGTTTTAATGTAAAATAAATATTTAAAATAGACCAGCAATTTTTGATACCCCTGTATACATTTAAGGAAGGAATAACATTTTTCTGTAAAGTATATTTCTCTACCTTTAAACTCAGCACAAGAATTAATTTTGAAAAATAATGTACAGGGTGTTAATAATATATTCTCTTGTAGCATGCAAATTTAAATATCTTTAAATATCTCAAAAACCACAGATTTTAAACATATTTAACCCTTATAATAAATACCTTTTTTTGGGCCCAAGAATCCAAAAATGAAATTAAATACCGGGTGTTCCATAAGAAAAAATATAACTTTGCTATGGATCTTAGTTTTGAAACACCCTGTACATTTCAAAATAATTTTAAATTGTGCACATTACCTACCAATATATACCCATAAAATATTTTGTTTCTACATCTTTCCGTTTTCGTATAATCAACCGAGGCGAATGAGGTGCGCCATCCTGTATACAGTTTGCTAAAAAAATCAAGGAAATAGGGCTAAAAATAAAAAATATAACATTTTAAACTAGACCAAAAATGAGTGTAGTAACTAGTAACCATTTTAAATATTTTTGGAAAGTTCAAGAAGAATATACATTATTTTAATATTTTAGAATAATATTTTGAATAATTTAAAGATGATTAGTTTAAACATGTTTTGCTATTTTATTTATCCATTTTCTGTATTTATAGGTATTATAATAATATATAACTGTGAAGTATTCAACAACAGGGATATGAAAACTATATTATTATTTATTTTAATTTCCGCTTGCAAATTTATAAAAGCTAACCCTGGTTTATTAAATCAATTTTTACAATCATCGCTCATAAAAAGGTTATTAAATAATATTGTGCACAGAATGAAATTAATTTAAAGCTGTATCGAGAAGTTCAACTTTGGACTGATAAAAAGCTGGAAAATTTAAATGGAAGGGGAAAATGAATAGCATGTACTTAAAGACAGTACTGGGTGAAGCTCACGTATTTTATTTTTTTTTTCTGTTGTGTTGTTAATTGTTTTGGTATTTTGTAAGTAATCTAGTATATTATGCGATATTTTGTCCTTTTATTCTGCTATTCCAAACACAATTAGGATAATATTGCTTTATCCAACTCCAGTAACAAACTCATAAGCATTAGAATGTTATAAAATAATATAACGATAATGTATTTTCATTATATATTTTTGTAATATGGATGGAAAATATCATAATAATAAGATTGTAAAATTCTAAAGACGTTTTTGAGATTGTCTTCTTTAAGCCATATATCAAAAAGTCTCTTTGTTAGTAAAAAATAATACTTATATTTATTTTATCTCCTTGAAAATGGATACATATACCCGGTGTTTTTACACCCCCCCCCCTTTAACTTTTTATTTTTTTACAAAAAAAAAACAGATTGGTGTGTTAGTATATGACTTACATCTGGATTTATTGACGTCTACAATTATTTTCGGTCACTTCCTGTTTCAATGGAAATCATCACAACTTTTGATTTTTAAATGGTTCCTTTTGTATTTTTTTACTATATTTGATAGAGAATAACATTCCGAATAGAATGACATATGTTAATTCTTGCCATTTTTGCTTAAAAAAGCATTTAAATTTCAAATTAGAGTGCAATGACAGTGTTCAGAACGACAATTTGACTCGAAATACCAAGTATGTGGTACCAAAATATTCGATAAAAAAACCTTTTCCAGATATTCTGATGAGCCAACCTCGTTCCGTTTGAAAAACAATTGTGTTATGATTAAACTATTAAACGATTGGAACATTCTTTAATTGATAAGGAAATGTTACGAAATGCATTAAGCTGTATGCACACTGGTGCGATCACGGTCGCGATCACGATCTCCACGCGGCCGCGGCCAAAAGTTGCTAAAGAATACATATGAGCACATATGAGCCATAGTTCACATTGAGGTAATTTGTGACATTGGCGCGATCGAGTTTTGGAGACGAAGCGGCCTGGCGGCGTTCTATTCTGCGGTGGCGATCAGATGCAACAACAAAAATCCAAGTTACAAAAATAATAGAATTAGAAATAAAAGTTTGAGACAAAATTGGAGTTGCAATTAGATTGGATAGTACATATGTATACATTTTTATTGTTTAAGTTTAGTATTGTACTACAGGATCGCTTACTACATATATGTACGATGAACGTGAACGCGTTGGTGTGTGCCAGAATGATCGCTCATGTTACCGCTGCCCTGATCGTGATCGTGATCGCGGCCGGGATCGCGCACCAGTGTGCGTGTAGCTTAAGGCTTCATTCAGAACCTCCCAATTAGAGGTATAAATTAGTGGTTTCAATTACCCTTTATACTTTTTAGTTTACGATCATTCACAATGTCTAAAAAACACAATTAAAATTAATAAAATATCCTAACAACAGCTTGCGGTTGTCTGTTGTATCCATAGGGAAAGCATAATATTTAGCTTATAAAATAATAAACTTTTGATTTCTAACCAAAATTTTTCTTGACGGGTGATAATCAAAGGCCAAAATGACATTCCTCGCAAATTTTGAAGGATAATTAGTGGAAAAGTCAAAAGTTTGTTAACTTTTTCCACTAATTGAAAATTACTACCGCTAATTATGATGTTCTGAATGCTTACATTAAAATTAGGTGAACAAACTTCTACGGTTAATTGAAACTACTAATTTATTCCACTGATCTCGAGGTTCTGAATGAAGCTTTAGACTATTAAAAGTATAAAGAGTTTCAAGTAATACAAGATTTCTTGATTATAAGTAAGTAGTTTTAACCCAGCCATGTTATGTTGTATGACGTACCATTCTACTCAGAACGCTATTTTCTATCAAATAAAATAAAACGGTATCGATGGTAGAATTTACAAATCAAAAATTCTAGTAATTTTCGGTGAAACAATAGGAAGTTTAATCTGCCATAAAGTTTATAGAAGAGTCAATTTTCATAAATATTTATTTTTTTATACAAGACGATAAAGTTGTATTTTATCGTCTGATCCGGGAGCCGATAATGCAATTTTATCGTCGTGTGTAAAACAATATTTTTTTCCATGGCGAGTTACGATTTAAAAAATATTCAGAAGGAATTTATTACGAGTAGAAAAAAATATTGTGCTGGGTTGGCGTTGGTTTCTATGTAATTTGACAAATAAATAAAACTGTCTCTTTAGTTATCAGTTTTGAGTCAATATTTTTTAATTCTCTTTCGTGTCGATTGCTGATTGAATTGGAGCCAGAAATGGCTCAAAACGAAATAAGTAAATTATCAACAGATATTCAGGCTGAGGCGACAAACGCCATATCCAAACTACTTCCATTTAAATCCCGAATAACTTATGAAAAGTAATACAAAAATTTTCAATAATGGAAGCAATTAAAAAACTTGCGAGAAGAAATAAAGTTTTTAATATATCCCCGCTGTAAAAGTATCATTTAATCTACCCTTGCGGTTAAAGTACTATTTTATCTACTATTTTTGATAAATAAAGCGTTTTTAAGGCCACACATAAAGCGTTTTTAGCGTTTTGCGTTTTTTGCGTCTCAAGCGCTTTTTGCGATTTTACCGTTTTAAGCGCTTTTTTCGATTTGTGTCCATTAAAAACACGCAAAAGACGCGGCAAGTCTGCAGTTTCTATCAAGATGTCAATTAGTAACGTCGCAAGCTCGTGGATTTCCGGCCCGTTCAACAATCAATCCTGTGAGAAAGAGATAGGCGAGATCGGCGCGGTTAGCGTTGAAGAGACGAAGATAAAAGATGCTGGGATTGAATTGTGGACGGGCCGGGGCATATATTCGGCGACAAACACAATCTACTGCTAGTGCCAGTGGTGTGTGTAAAAATAATAAATAGTATTTGCCATTTATTTTACGAATTTTAATTTATATGTGTATAGTTTTTTATGTTGTAGTGTTGTGGTTACTTGTTATAATTATAATATATTATAATATAATAATATAATAAAGTATTATAATTATATAATAGAATAGTAAATATATATTACTAGTTGCTAACGCAATTTTAGAACATGATTTATGAAACTTTTTGGAGTGAAACTTCTCTACGCGCGCTGGGAGTAAACATTCAAGGCCGTGACATACGAGCTATTGAGACGGCCCTGTCACACGAGCTAGTTGTAACGAAACGTGTTAACGGCTTAGAAATACGTAGTGACGCGACGTGTATTTATGCGCAGTCCTCGTGTTTATCAAAAATATTGATATTTTAATACAAATTTTGTAAAAGTGAATCAAATTATTACGTGTAAAAAACCATTTGTTACACGTAAAAAAACTATTTTTATTATTTTACGCGAATAAAATTGTTATACGTAAAAAACTATTTTTTACGCGTATAAAACTATTTGTTACGTATAAAAATCTATTTGTTAAACGTAAAAAGATATTTTTTTACGCGTCAAAAACTTATTGTTTCTGGTAAAAAAACTTTCTTTACGCAAAAAGAAATATTTTTTACGTGTAAAAAACTATTTGTTAGACGTAAAAAAAAATTCTTTTCGCGTCAAAAACTTATTGTTTCTGGTAAAAAAACTTATTTACCCAAAAAAAAATTTTTTTACGTGTAAAAAACTATTTGTTACACATAAAAAACTATTTTTTTACGCGTCATAAAGTTATTGTTTCTGGTAAAAAACTTTTTTACACAAAAAAATATATTTTTTACGTGAAAAAAACTATTTGTTACGTGTAAAAATCTATTTGTTACACGTAAAAAACTATTTCTTTACGCGTCAAAAACTTATTATTTCTGGTAAAAAAAACTTTTTTACGCAAAAAAAAAATTACGTGTAAAAAACTATTTGTTACACGTAAATAACTAATTTTTGCGCGTCAAAAACCTATTGTTTCTGGTAAAAAAAAAATTTTACAGAAAAAAAAAATTTACGTGTAAAAAAACTATTTGTTACACGTAAAAAACTATTTTTTACGTTTCAAAAACTATTTGTTTCTGTCAAAAAAACCTTTTTTACGCAGAAAAAACACTTTTTACGAATAAAAAACTATTTTTTACGTGTAAGAAAATATTCCTTTAATTTATGACTTTTCAACATTTCAAACTACATTTTTTCAAACATTTCCTTGAAATTTTTGAATATAATAGAATCTTCCTAAACAGTGGATGTTCTCTATAAAAATATTTTTAGATAATATCCTAAAATGAAAAAAATGCTATTACTATTTAATTTATTTTTATTGTATTATTAAATATTACGTTCGCCTATGAAGGGGTCTCATAGCAAATGCTAAAGACGCTACAGAAAACAAATTGATTTGTTTTCATTTGCATTTTTTGCGAGACACGCCGAGCGCTAGACGCTTTTGGTGGGGCCACTTCTATATAATCCTGTTATTTTGTTTTAGACGCAAAAGACGCTTCACGCTAAAAACGCAAAAAACGTTTTCTGTGTGGCCGTGCACTAAGGCAATTTTAACAGTTGCTATGGAAAAAAAATACATTTTTTTTGTCAAAATAGAAATTAATATAATTATTGTTAAGTAAGTCACTGGTACGCCTTCTATATTAATCTAACAAAACCTAAATATTTTTTCTCTAGTAAAATGGTTCAACCCACTTCTCCAGACACCCAAGCCAGCGAAACACTTATGGACGCTTCGTCCAATGCAAATGCCGAGCCTAAGGACGTATCCATCCTGATCAAGGCCTGTTCTGCCAAAGTGATCAAGGCACAGCCAAGGTCCAAACCGCTGATCAGCAAGGAGAACACGCTGCTCATGATCATGATCACCATCATCATTTTGCTGCTGGAGATCGTCATCCTTCTGACCAGATATTTTAATATTGGCTTGTTCTAAAAACCAACTTTTCCAAAACATTCTTCTAATATTTTTGTTAGTGCACCGTTGAATGAATAAAATTACATAAAGAAGTATTTCTCTTTTTTATTTAATTTATCATATGGTTAGAAAATGTACTATTGTATAAAAAATGATCTTAATATTGTATTTCTATTTTAACGTTAGTATGGTTTAAATTAAAAATCAAAAATAGTCAGTGTACAAGGTGTCTCGTTTTCGTATGTTTTTTACAGAGCTTCTCGTTTTTAAGTAGAGATACCAAGATACGGTTTTCACATCACAGAAACACATTTTATTGCACGATATAGTAGGTATTTATTATATTCTATTATTTAAAAAAACTTTATTCTAAAGTGCACAGTTCAGATTTACTTGGTAATCGTAGATTATTCTTTTATAATTATGGTGCAATTACCAATTCATTAAAATTATTACAGAAATAAAGATTTCTGATATTGATACTAAGGGCGCAAACATAGTGAGGCATCTCGATGCGATGCTGGCCGCGCTGCTCGCCAGGATGCATCGCGACTATCGTACAAACATAGTGCGGTTCACATCGACGCGATGCGCGCCATTCACCTCGCCATCCGGCGATGCTGAATCAAACATGTACAAATTTATGCGTCAAAACATACTGGAGCCTCACACCTCGCCACGCACCTAGATGTTCAGCGCGATGCTTCCTAGGAAACAAAATTTTTGTTTTTTGCGAGAAGCGGACGCGGATGCCTGAAACTTTACATTTGATTGGTCGGTTTAGGATCACAATTCGTTGAGCATATGTCGAACTAGAGTCGGGTGGAATGAAATGTTCACAATACTAGTATTTAATTTATCACCAACAATGTAATCAACTTGATTCTACAGGGTCCGGAAATAATGCGTCGGGCATCTGCAGCTCCTATAATAAAAAAACTTATGAATTTTCCAGTAGTCCAGACATAAAGTATGTATTAGGATGTATTTGAGGAAAATATTTGAACTTCTAAAGGGTGGCTCAAAAAAGTGTGAGTGGATAGCGAATACTTTTTTATATGGAAAACATATATACAGAGTGGCGCAACTCATTTGCCTTGGTTGATTATACGAAAACGGAAATATGTAGAAACAAAATATGTTATGCGCATATGTGGGAAGACCATGTGCATAATTTAAAATTATTTTGAAATGTACAGGGTATGTCAGAACTAAGGTTTACACCAAAGTTATATTTTTTCTTATGAAACACCCGGACTTTTATTTCATATTTGCATCCTTGTATATGTAAATAATGCCTTTATTATAAGGGTTATTATATATTAATATGTTTACAAGCTTTGGTTTTTGAAATATTTAAAGATATTTAAATATGCTACAATGGAATAAATTATCAACATCCTGTATAAGTTATCTCTGCCAGCATTATTTCAACATGTCCATTTCTTTACCATGGAAATGCAGTCGGCAGGACACCGTTCTGGCAGCCATTCAGAAAGCTGGAAAGCCCTCGAAATGGCATCCGGATGCGGTCTGGCCGGAGGTGCAGAAATTGGGCTGCGGTCAGGGACAAATTGGTCATTTGACACGAATGGTAAAACGTGCGGTTGTCCCTGCCCCCTCAAAATAGCACCGCCGCTGACAGGTTGTCCAGCACGACCAAAGGTGAAAAGGGACGAAAGACATACCGTGTGTTTGAAAAACTGGCGGCTATAAAAGTCGGTTACATTTCATATCATTACTGTGTATGAGACATGTAAATATTGAATCCTAGCAATTTGGTTAAATATACACACCGGAAAAATCTAGGGATATCATTTTATTACAGTTAAAAATAAATGTTTTGAATAAACAACCACATATTTGTAGGCCGATTCTTTCTACTTCGACTGAAACGAAGTAGTCGCACTAGTTATTTCTAAATTTGGGATATTTGCAGAAGCGTTTGTGCATTTTTTGTCAAATGTATAAAAAGCACCTAGCATCAATTGTTCGAATTTAACCTGTACTGGCTATGTTTTTATGATAACTGGCCAGAATTCATTCAAATAACTCTGTTTAGTATTAAACGACATTATGGTAGACATCTTATAGTAGACATCTTAACAGAGACGAAATGCTAAGGGCCATGAGTATGCTCGAAGCTCGAATGCGCCAAATCGACGTAGCTAGAGCATTAAATACAACGCAAAGTGTAATATCGCGATTAAGTGCACGCTACCGTCAAAGTGGTGATGTTGCTGAAAGGCACACAGGGTGACATCGCATTACTACTCCTCAGCAAGATCATTTTTTACAATTAAATGCTCGACGCCGACCGACTCTTACAGCACCAGAGCTTAGTTTAATTCTCCAGGAAACACATAATGTAACCGTTAGTCCTGACAATTTTCGCAATAGATTAAGAGAGGTCAACTTAAGAAGCAGACGCCCCTGGAGAGCTCAACCCTTAACGAGAGGAAAGCGAGACTAGAGGTACGATATTTGTGGGCTCAAGATCATGTTCAGTGGTCGAATGAACAATGGGCCAATGTTCTCTTCACGGATGAGTCACGGTTTGGAATTCATCCGGATTCGAGAAGGCTTAGGGTATTGAGAGAACCGGGAAATCTTATTCGGTTGGATCATGTTCAGGAAGTGCACCCTTATCAAGGTGAAACAGTTATGGTCTGGGGAGGAGTCCAGTTAGGCCGAAAAACTGATCTCGTTTTTCTTGAAAGGTTTCTAACAGGAATCACATATCCTGATTTAATTCTTGAGCCTGTCATGTTACCATATGCCAATGATTTTGGGAGAAACTTCATTCTCATGAATGACAATGCACGGCCTCATACAGCCAGAGTGGTAAGTGAGTTTATCAATGCTCATCAATTAAACATCTTACCCTGGCCGGCACAATCTCCTGACCTCAACCCCATCGAGCACGTATGGGACGCGGTCCAAAGAAGAATTTTGAGAATGGGTATGCCTCGTGAAACTCGTAGGGATCTGATTCGGGCCGTGAATGCAGCGTGGCAGGCTGTACCTCAAGAAGAGATCGACAACCTGATCAGGAGCATGGAGAGACGATGTAGGGCTGTAATGAACAGTAGAGGAGGCCATACCCTTTATTAAGTAAAAATGGTTTTATCTTTTTTTTTAATTCACAGTTTAGAATAAAAAAAAAGTGTGTATTTTTTTGAGTTCAATAAAAATCAAGGTAAATTTTGAAAAATTCGGTAAATTTCGCATTTTTATTTCCAATACGTCCTGGAAACTGTTTGTTTATTTTAATTTTATTATATCAGAAATGCAAATAATAAAATTACTGACGATGGCTGGATAAAATTGTAATATCCCTAGACTTTTCCGGTGTGTGTATATACTGGGTAAGAGATGCACTCAGAGAGTGGTGCACTCCTATAACTTTTTTATTTTTTTCAGATAAAAAGCGAGATTTGGTATGTTAGTATATGACATATATTAGGATTATTGACGTATTAAATTCTTTTCGGCTACTTCCTGTTTCACCAGAAATGACTACAACTTTTCATGTCTAAATGACACCTTCGGTATCTTTTTACTTTATTCTCTAGAACAGGACACTCTGAATAGAATGACATGTCATATGTCAACTTTGACATTTTCGTATATGATTAATTTGAAATTATAACATACGTTTTATAACCATGTGACTCGAAATACCAAGTGTGTAGTATCAAATTATGCGTAAAAAGCAAGGTTGGCATGATTTAAATCAAGTGATTTTTTTAATTTTAATCATGTGATTTAAATCAAAAAAAAAGTATTGAAACTTTATAATAAATAAAAAGAAATAACTGTAAAAGTTATAATAATGTATCCTAGAAAACTAGAAAAAATATTTCTATAACAGAGATAACAGATAATAAATCGAAAAATAATTGTAAATGTCATAAAACTATATAAAGATGTCTATTCATCAATTTAAATTTTGGACCGATTTTTGAAGTAATTTCGTGTGAATCCATTAGACCACTAAACGCAGGGATTTATTTTAAAATTTATGTATAAGTGACAAAAATTCGCTGTTTGAATACATATCATTTGCAAAGTCTAGTGCAGAACTAGGTTCTTCTGATAGAGAGACTATATCTTCATTCCCGAGAATCCATAATCGTTGTCAGAAAATGTGTTGTTTTATATATTTTTTTTTTGAAACGGTTGCATGTTTCCAAATTCCTACCGACATTTTGATCTGCAGTAACTACTTTACACTTTGGCATTAGATAACTACATACTAATTTCATTCTGGACTTAAGACTATTTCCGAACAATAGTGTATTATAAGAGTAAAAATTATACTTTTTTTGACTATGCTGTACGTTTGATCCTTTGAAGGACCGTCGTAAAGCTAGTCCGTCGTTACAGGGAGGCACAAACAGTACATTTTTACTCCGAATAGAGCATGCTATTTCTTTTAAAACATTACATATATTTCATATTACATCAATTCCAAGCATTGCAAATAATATGAACAGTAATCGAGCAACAATTTATACACTCGTTGAATTTGTCATTTAATATCAGTTTAATAATACATTTTTGTACTTTTGTGCTTAGGCGTAACAGTGCTTTACTTTTATGCCTAGGCGTTAAAATGGCAAAAGTTAATATTTTTGAGATATTTGAAAAAAAATCCTTTTGATCTGAAGCAAGCGACTTTTTTGCGGAATATATTAGTGACCGATGTGGAAAACGCGCCGTAGAATTGTTAATTACCCATTTCAATTCAATTCAATTCAAAAGTACTTTATTGTTAAAAAATATATAAATTTTTGTTAACAAAGCATAATATGCCTAAATCTAAACCTAAAACATTTATTGCCAGCAATTTTAACATTAAAAAACAGTTTTATGAAAAGTAAACAAATGCATGTAAATATAAAAACAAAAAACAAAAAATTTGTGTAAATATAAAATTGAACAAAATACAACCATTTAAACCAACAAACAGAATTCAGCAAAATAGGTTTACTCGCATTTAGGATAGGACTTTAATTGGAAATAAGTCCTAGTCATTTGGAAATCCAATTTAAAGATTGTTTTGAATTAAAATTTAAAAAATCTGATTTAA